CAGGTCATATGGTCTCAAGAGTTTTGCCGCTGTCCATCTAATTGGGCGGGAGGGAGATGTCCTCTCCATCCAATCCAAACTCTGGGTTCCCAAGTCACCTCCCCACAACCTCAGAGCCTAACCTATACTCACTGATTTCTGCCTCCCATCCCCTCAACTTCCTTCCTCCCCCAACTCTAACCCAGAAAACCAGACCCATGCATGGCATCCACTCACCTAGATCTCACCCTGTGCCTGTTCAAGGCCCCCAAGCTGGACCCCTTTCGAAATTCCACTCTCTGAAGGTTCTCTGCCTGGACGCCTAGTTCAGGAGCCTCCTGCCCCAGCTCTGAGCAACCTTACAAGCAACCCCCAAAGCATGACCCCCTCCCTAACCCCAAGACCCCTCCCCGACCCCCCATTCTTCTACTCCCTCAGACTCCCCCATTCCCTTCCCCCAAACCATCTCCCCACGCCCAAACACAGCTCTCTCTCTCCACACCTACCGGTCCTGAACCGATGTACACACTCTCAGGTGCCCCCCGGAACCCGCCCGGGGCTCTCACCATCCCCGCGCGGCGAGGCTACCTCGACTACGCGGGGCTCCCCCACTCGCTCCTCTACAGCCTCCCCTTCCGGGTTCTCGCCCCAAAGCCCTCTGGGAATTGAAGTTCGCGCGACCACGGACTACGCCTCCCAGAATGCAGTGCTGCAGCTAGGAAGCCAAACGAGCTAGTTGAAGAAAAGAATTTCCACCGGCGGAGGGGATTTAGCTGCGCACGCGCATTACCGCGCGGCCTGCTGGGAGATGGAGTCCAATCGCTCTCATTTTTGACTTGGGACCCTTAGAAGAAAGGGAATTGCAAAAAGGATGGAAGGGGTGGAGAGTAGAGAAAGAACACGTTTTTTGGTTTAACATTATTTATTCGTGTTGATTCACACAATAATTAACAGTGCACTTACGCTTTCCCAATCACCCCATTCTTTTACCTAGCAACGCCTGCTGATGTACAAATGAAAAAAATGAAGACTTGCAAAGAGAAAGACTCGCACACTAGGAGGAGCCAGTCTACAGCACAGTTAGAATAGAAGCAGGAATAGGGCAGGAATCTTTGTATACTTTGTTCAATCACCTACAGCAATTGAATAACTTCATGTTAGACACCTTGCAGATAACCTTAGCAAGACCTATGATCCCAAGTTTACCAAAGTTAATGCAAAATACTGAGCCTTTCTCCATACGAATACAAGAAAACTATTTGGACCGAAATACATTGGACTATCAGGGACTCTACTCTTTATTACTCCTCTAGATCACCTTCACTTAAAACTGTATTTGTGTGTGTGTCCGTGTGTCAGTCCTGAGGCTCAAACTCAGGGCCTGGGCACTGTCTCTGATCCTCTTTGTGCTCTTGGCTAGCACTATACCACTTGAGCCATAGCTCCACTTCTAGCTTTTGGGTAATTAATTAAAGATATGACTGAGCCAAGCACTGGTGGCTTACATTTGTAATGCTAGTTACTCAGGAGGCTGAGATCTGAGGATCACAGTTTGAAGCCAGCTCAGGCAGAAAAGTCCACGAGACTTTTTAAAAAAAAATTTTTTTTTTTTTGGTCATGGGGCTTGAACTCTGGGCCTGGGCTCTGTCCCTCAGCTCTTCAGCTCAAGGCGAGTGCTCTACCACTTGAGCTACAGCGCCACTTCCGGTTTTCTAGTAGTTTATTGGAGATAGGAGTCTCACGGTCTGTCCAGCCCGGGCTGGCTTTGAACCGAGATTCTCAGATCTCAGCCTCCTGAGTAGCTAGGATTACAGGCTTGAGCCACCGGCACCCGGCTACTTTTTAAATTTTTTAATTTAATTTTTTTGTGTTGGTTGTGGGGCTTGAACTCAGGACCAAGTTACTGTCCCTGAGCTCTTTTGATCAAGACTAGTGCTCTACCACTTTGAGCCTTAGTGCCGCCTTCAGTTTTTGAGTGGATAATTGGAGATAAGACTCTCATGGATTTTCCTGTCTTGGCTGGTTTCAAACTTTTATCCTCAGATCTCAGCCTCCTGAGTAGTTAGGATTACAGGTGTGAGCCACCGGTGCCCAACCCATGAGACTGTTACCTCCAACAAACTACTTAGAAAAAGCCAGAAGTGGAGTAGTGGCTCAAGTAATAGAGTGCTAGCCTTGAGCACAAAGAGGATCAGAGACAATGCCCAGACCCTGAGTTCAAGCCCCAGAAGTGGCCAAAAGAAAAAAAAAGACTCTCATAAACTTTCCTACCTGGGCAGGCTTCAAACTAGGATCCTCAGATCTGGACCTCCTGAATAGCTAGGATTACAGACCTGAGCCACCAGTGCCTGGCTTTAAAGTTGTATTTCTTTTTTCCAGTCCATTCTCCTCCTGCATTATAAGAATGAGTTTTCGGCCAGGGGCCAGTGGGTCACATCTATAATCCTAGCTACTGAGGAGGCTAAGATCTGAGGATCACAGTGCCTAAGCTCAGAGTTCAAGCCCACACCGACAAAAAAAAAAAAAAAAAAGTTTTCTTTTCTTTCCTTTTCCCCCACCGCCAGGCTTGGGGCTTGAACTCACGGCCTGGGCATGGGCTCTGTCCCTGAGCTGCTTTTGCTCAAGGCTAGCACTCTACGACTTGAGCCACAGCACCACTTCCAGTTTTTTCTGTGTATGTGGTACTGAAGAATCGAACCCAGAGCTTCATGCATGCTAAGCTAGCACTCTACCGCTGAGCCATCTTCCAAGCCCCAAGAATGGGTTTTCTAAAATGTACCGTTTACTTTGCATCTCAAAAGCACGTGCAAACTTCACGAGGAAAAACTAGGATTAAGTCTCAATTCCATCTTGGCAAAGTTCCCAGCGTGGAACATTCTGCTTGGCACACAGTAGGCACCAATTCGAGGGAGAAAGCTGTGGAAATGGGGTACCTTGGGGTCAGGAGTCGTTGGCAGGCAGGGGCAAAAGGGCAACTTCACCTCTTAATGACCCCAAGGTTTCTGAAGCTGGAGAACTGAACAGTCATCTGGTCTCCCAGGCAGCAAAACGGGAGGGGGCGTGGCCTCCCGAAAAGGCGGGTAGGTGGACGAACGCTGATTGGCCAGCCTCGTGGAGCTTGCCAGCAAGTGTCTTGGAGACACGAGGTCCGGGCTGTGGGACCCGGCCACTGGGGGGTGTGCGCAGCGCGCCTGCGCAGGGCCACTTCTCCTGACCTCTAGAGGCTTCTCGCGCCTCGCCTTGCTTTGGCGGGAACTGGAGAGGGGGCGGCCGGGCGCGTGCCTCTCTCTCCTCAGCGTGGGAATTCGCGCCTTTTCCTCGTGCTGTGCTGGGGGCTCAGAACTTAGGCCGCAGCCGGCGGGAGTCCGGGGGCTTCTGTGCATATTTTTCCCACCCAGGACCGGCCCGGCACGCTGTGGGGTTTCTGGCTCACCAGTGTGTGGGGCTGTCGTGAAACCATAACTTAGGCCTGGCGCCATTTTTGTCACCATTTGAGGTGGGTGCCGGAGGCTGAGAGGACCTGGCGAGGAGCGAATGTTGGGGTGTCTGGAATGGGAGAGGGGGGAAGTGGACTCCCTGGAGCTTTAGCAAGTCAGGAGATTCTGGGGTCCCCCCTCCCAGAGAGGCCCTTTATAAAGGTTGTGGCTTGTCTCCTGGTTGTAGGGTCCTGAGAGGGGGGCACAAGGCCTGGAGACGGAGCGGGCGTTGGAGTGTGAGGCTGGGTCGAGTTTTGGGGCGTCCCCTCTAAAGTCGGGCCTGTGGAAGGCGCTGTTTAGAGGAGCCCTTGGGAATCTGGGGTCTCTCGGAGTTTGTGTGTGGAGGTAGGTAGATTAGAGAACCTGAGGAAGTGAGATGTGTGTGAGACTAGAAGCTTCCCTGTTGGAATCTGGATACCCCAATATTGGGGCGGGGGAATGTCTTGAAGTCTGGGGTTCTGGAGTTTTCTGGAAGGAAGTGAGTGGTCTGAAATGGCAGGACTGGAGACTTAGAGTTAGGCTTCAAATCTATAGGGCCTAAGATTAGGAACCTAAAACCTCAATTTGAGTTTTGGTGTGTGTGTGTGTATGCCAGTCCTGGAGCTTGAACTCTGGGCCTGGGCGCTGTCCCTCAGCTCTTCAGCTCAAGGTGAGTGCTCTACCACTTGAGCCACAGCCCCACTTCTGGTTTTCTGGTGGTTTATTGGAGATAAGAGTTTCACGGACTTTCCTGCCCGGGCTGGGTTTGAACCGTGATCCTCAGATCTCAGCCTCCTGAGTAGCTAGGATGACAGGCGTGAGCCACCGGTGGCCGGCTCCTGAGCTTCTTTTCTCTCAAGGCTAGTACTCTACTGCTTAAGCCACAGCTCCACTTTTGGCTATTTGGTGGTTAATTGGAGATAAGAGTCTCACAGGCCAAGCACCTTGGGCGTATTCATGTCAGCTACTTAGGAGGCTGAGGTCTGAGGAGGCTGAGCACTGAAGTCAGTGCTCTCAGGAAAGTCTGTGAGACTATTATCTTCAACTAACCACCATAAAAACCAGAAGTGGAGCTATGGCTCAAGTGCTAGAGTGTCAGCCTTGAGTGAAAAAGCTCAGGGACAGCACCAAAGCCCCAGGATATCAGTGCCCAGAGAATTTAGGATTTTTTGTTGTCGTTATCCATGGGGCTTGAACTCAAGACCTGGACACTGTTTCTGAATGATTTCCATTCAAGGCTACTGAGCTCTATGACTTTGAGCCACAGCTCCACTTCTGGTTTTCTAGTGATTAAACGGACTTGGTTAATTGGTGGACTTTCCTGCCTGGACTGGGTTTGAACCTCTATCCTCAGATCTCAGCCTTCTCAGTACCTAAGATGACAGGTGTGAGCCACCAGCTCCCAGCTTTAAGTTTTTAATTGAGGCCTATGAGTCCATCGTTATGGAGAGTTAGGACTCTTAAGTTGAAAAGAAGCACCCAAGAAGAAATGAAAGGTACCCATCATGTAGACCTTTGCTCTGGGAGTCCTAGAGATCACTAATAATTTATTTTTCCTCTTTGCAGATGTTTGTTTCTGGTAGATACTTGAGTTCCTCTGAACAGCCTAGCAATGATTCCTTGGGTCACAGTACCAGGTAATGGCTCCCCATGTCCCTTCTATCTCTAGCCACTCAGATTGAATAATAACATAATAGGCTGAAGTGTAGCTCAAGTAGTAGAGTATTGCCTCACATGTATGAAGTGGAGGCCCTGGGTTCAAGCCTTAGTATCACAACAAATAATAACAAACAATAACAACAAGATTCACTTGTTGCTAGGTCTTTCTAAGACTTTTTTTTTTTTTGGCCAGTCCTGGGGCTTGAACTTAGGGCCTGGGTGCTCTCCCTGAGCTTCTTTTGCTCAAGGTTAACACTCTACCACTTGAGCCACAGCTCCATATCTGATTATTTGCTAATTAATTGGAGATAAGAGTCTCTCATAAACTTTCCTGCCTTGGCTGGCTTTGAACCTGAATCCTCAGGTCTCAACTTTCTGAGTAGCTAGGATCACAGGTGTAAGCCACCAGTGTCGAACTTGGTTTTCCTTCCTTCCTTCCTTCCTTCCTTCCTTCCTTCCTTCCTTTCTTTCTTTCTTTCTTTCTTTCTTTCTTTCTTCCTTCCTTCCTTCCTTCCTTCCTTCCTTCCTTCCTTTCTTTCTTTCTTTCTTTCTTTCTTTCTTTCTTTCTTTCTTTTCTTTCTTTCGTCCTGGGGCTTGAACTTAGGGCCTGGACACTGTCCCTGTGCTGCTTTTGTTCAATGCCAGCACTCTACCACTTAAGCCAAAGCACCATTTCCAGCCTTTTCTGTTTATATGGTACTGAGGAATCAAACCTAGGGCTTCATGCATGCTAGGCAAGCACTCTACCACTAAACCAAATTCCCAGCCTGGTTATTTTTTTATACAGTGTCTCTTTCTACCCTGTATTTGGGGTGCAGCCCAGCCTATTTCAGATTTCCCATGGTAGCTAGAATGACAAGCACATTCCTCCATGCCCAACCTGAGATGCAGTTCTGTGGACTTGTCTGCCTGGACTGGCCTCAGACTGTGATCCTCTGGATCTCAGTCTTTCATATAGCTTAACCTGATAGGTGGGAGTGAGCCACCAGTGCCCCAGTCATGCCAGACTTATTGAGATGAGAGTCTCATTAACTTTGCCTGAGATGACCTCAAGCTATGATCCTCCCAATCTCTGTGTCCTGAGTAGCTGGGAGTAGCTGAGATTACAAGTGTGAATCACCACATTGGATGACAATAGGTGTTCAAAGCAAAAGAGTGATATGGCCAGATTTTTGTTTCAGAAGCCTCTAGTAAAGAACAAGGATAGAGGAGGCCAGACAGGAGGCTCAGAGGCCTGTGAGGATGTCAATAAGGACCAGGGGACTGAGTAAGGATTGAGCCCTTGAGAATGATGAGGCTTGATTTCTTTTCTTTCTTCTTTTTCCTTTCTCTTTCTTTTTTTGTCGGTTGTGAGGTTTGAACTTAGGACCTGGGCACTGTCCCTAAACTTCTTTTGCTCAAGGCTAGTGCTCTTTCACTTTGAGCTACAGCATCACTTCTGATTTTCTGGTAGTTTATTGGAGATAAGAGTCTCACAGACTTTCCTGCCTGGGATAGCTTTGAATCCAGAACCCTCAGCCTCCTGAGTAGCTGGGATTACAGGTATGAGCCACCAGCACCTAGCTGAGGCTTAACTTCTACTGATGCCCAAAACAGAGTCTTGGGTGCTCCCAGAGTGGGCTTTGTCCAAGCCACAACCTGGGGTCATTGAGATGGGATGTTCAGAAAGTCACATGCTAAATTAATTTGTAGTTGTTCTAACCCCAAGACGGCTCTTGTCACTCAACAGGAATGAGAAGAAAAACCACACCAGCAAACTTCGAGAGCTGGCGCTGCTGCTCCCCATTTCTCAGAAGAGTGGAACCAAGAAGCACACTAAGGTTTGGGGAGCAAAGGAGATGAGGCAGACTAGGGTAGCAAGGTTCACACAGCAGTAAGTAGGGTCTCATTCTGGGAGACCTATCAGATCCTGTCAGTGACCAACATTGAGGTGGGAATGATCCTGCTCTAAAGGATCATTTCTGTGACCCCATAATTTGAAGCCTGAGGATTCCTTCCTTTTTTTTCTTTTTGTAGGTTATGGGGCTTGAACTCACAGCCTGGGCACTGTCCCTGAGCTTTTTTGCTTAAGGCTTAGTGCTCTACCATTTGAGCCACTGCTCCATTTCCAGTTTTCTGGTGGTTTATTGGAGATAAGAGACTCACAGACTTTCCTATCTGGGCTGGCTTTGAACCACAATCTTCAGATTATCAGCCTTCTGGGTGGGAGTACAGGCATGAGCCACTGGTGCCTGGCAAGGATTCTTTTTTGTTTTGTGGTGCTAGAAATGGAACCAAGATCCTCATCCATACTAGGCAAGTGCTCCTGGTGGGTTTCATTTACACAGAAGACAGGGCTATAGTCATGCAGCCATGGGTTTAAATGCTCCTCTAGCTTCACTGCTGCACTCCCTGGGCAGCTTCCTCAGACTCCACAGGCCTTAAGGTTCTCAGCTGTCAAAGAAGGGAAAAATAACTCCTACTACCCACCCCGGCCCCCCAAATAGCATGATGGTCACATGGGGCCCAGCACTTAGCATGCCCTGAATAAATGCCATTTTCCTCCACCGCTCCCTCATTTGGGGACCTGTGGATTTCATCTCTGTGAGTTAGCAATGGTAAGCTCTCTCCATGGGCTTTGTAATAAATATTTAAAGAAGCTGGGCACCGGTGGCTCATGCCTGTAATCCTAGCTACTGTGGATGCTGAGATCTGAGAACTGCGGTTCAAAGCCAGCCCTGGCAGGAAAGTCCTTGAGACTCATATCTCCAATGAACCACCAGAAAACAGGAAGTGGCACTGTGGCTCAAGTGGTAGAGTGCTGGCCTTGAGCTGTAGAGCTTAGGGACAGTGCCCAGGCCCAGAGTTCAAGCCCCATGACTGGCAAAAATAAAAATAAAAAAGGTAGAAGTGGAGCTGTGGCTTAAGTAGTAGAGAGCTAGCCTTGTGCAAAGCTCAGGAACAGTGCCTAGACCCTGAGTTCAAGACCTTGGACTGGCGCTTTTGCACACATGTGTGCTTGCACACACACACACACACAGAGCTCATGATCTTTATAAGACAATAAGTAATCACCCTATCCTCAGATCCTTCCCTCATTCACATCTGCAGAGGTCCCTTTGTCGCCCCAAATTGTTATTTCTAGAACTATGGATTTTGATGTGGATATCTTTAGAACCTGTACGGATGTGGACTATCAGAGCAAGTTCTTCCTCTATCCTCAACATCTTGCATATTTGCGGTGCATAGGTGTTGTAAGAGGTTCTGTGGACCAGACATGATAAAGACGTAAACAATGACAGTCTAGCCAGGGGACAGGTAGCATTTGTAACTGACCAGGTGACCACATCCCTCGGAATTCTCTCCCACTTCAGGATACCATGTTTTTGTTTGTTTTGGAAGTATTAGGGTTTGAACACAGGGTCTTATACTTGATAGTTGGGTGTTCTATCACTTGAATTACACCTCCAGCCTTTTTGTCTCTTACTTCAGTTATTTATTTATTTTGCTTTAGTTGTTTTTTTTTTGTTGTTGTTGTTGTCGTTGTTTTTTGCCCTTCCTGGGGCTTGAACTCTGAGCCTGGCCACTGTCCCTGAGCTCCTTTTGCTCAAGGCGAGCACTTTACAACTTGAGCCAGAGCACAGCGCCACTTCCGGCTTTTTCTGTGATTAATTGGAGATAAGAGTCTCACAGACTTTCCTGTCTCTGCTGGCTTCGAACAACAGTATTCAGATCTCAGTCCCCTGAGTAGCCAAGATTACAAGCAAGAGTCACTGGGACCAAGCTTTATTTGTTTTTTTGGTTTTTGTTTTTGTTTTTCAGATAGTTCCACTTTTTTTTTTTAACCTGGGGCTGGTCTTAGACCATGATTCTTTTACCTACTGCCTATTCAATAGCAGCGATGTCGAGCGTGTACCATCATACCCAGTTTATTGGTTAAGATGGGATAGGAAGATGTCTCTCTCACTTTTTGCCCAATTTGGCCTCAAACTGTGATCCTCTGGATTTCTGGCCCCTGAATACCTTGGCATGACAGGCATGAGGGGTGAGCTAGCCCGTAGATCCCATGAAGGCAAAGAAAGCAGGTCTAGTATACCCTGACATGCTTAGAGCCTTAGTGAGTAGCCTCAGCTCAGAGAGAGCCAGTGGCTGGGTGGCTGATGCTGAGTACCCAGAGGAGGCTACCTGCTGGGTGCTGTGAGGTGGGTGGGGGTAGGAGGGTTGGGGGCCTCTTTTCCTGTGACAGCACCTGGCTGAACTTCCTCTCCATTCTGTGTGCTTGGGACACAGAAATCAACTAGTGAGGGCCATTCTGACTGTCAAACAGTTCAAGGTCAATGGGAGAGAACAACAGGGCAGCAGATAATGATAAAACAGTGTGGCAGTGCCTCCGTGGAAATAGTTCTATGGTTGTACAAGTGTGAAAAGGAAGAAAAACGTGTTTGTTTGCCAATCCTGGGACTTGAACTCAGGGCCTGGGCACTGTACCTGAGCTTCATTTGTTCAAGGCTAACACTCTACCACTTGAGCCACAATGCCACTTCCAGCTTTTTCTGTGTATGTGGCACTGAGGAATCAAACCCAGGGCTTCATACATGCTAGGCAAACACTCTACCACTGAGCCACATTCTCAGCCCCCCAAAAGAAATGTTTAAAAGGGGGCAGAAGTGGTGCAGTGGCTCAAGTGGTAGAGTGCTAGCATTGAGCTGAAGAGCTGAGGGATAACACCCAGACCCAGAGTTCAAACCCCACAACTGACCAAAAAATAAATAAATAAAATAAAATAAAAGGGGGCAGGGAGAGGGGAATAAAGTGCAGAGGAAGGGAACCAGGACATGGCTCAAGTGATAGAGCACCTGCCTAGCAAGCACGAAGTCCTGAGTTCAAACCCTAGTACCACCAACAAAAAGAATGCTGAAGCTGGGCACAGGGGCTCATGCCTGTAATCCTAGCTACTCAGGAGGCTGAGAACTGAGGATCTGGGTTCAAAGCCAGCCTGGGCAGGAAAGTCTGTGAGACTCTTATCTCCAATAAACCACTAGAAAACCGGAAGTGGCACTGTGGCTCAAGAGGTACAGCGCTCGCCTTGAGCTGAAGAGCTAAGGGACAGCACCCAAGCCCAGAGTTCAAGCCCTAGGACCAACAGAAAGAAAGAAAGAAGGAAAGAAAGAAAGAGAAAGAAAGAAAGAAGGCAGGCAGCTGACCCAGACTGGGTGAGAGGGGGCAGGCAGGCAAGCATTCAGGAGGCTAGAGGAGGAAGAGAAGGAGGCAGATGAGGGAGGCTGTGAAGAGAAGAAGAAAGCCTCACCATCAGGGATAGAGCATGAACAAAGGGCCTGGGGCCATCCTGTCCTTGCTGTTCTGAGCACAGCTTTGCTGTGTCCTGTGTGTTTTTAGAAGGAGATCCTTTTGCATGTTCTGAACTACATCCGGTACCTTCAGAGCAGTATCAATGTGGTCCAGACCCTGATCGGATGCCACATCAGCAGCAGGGAAGTAGGGGCTGCAGGTAAGGATTTCCCACCATACTACATGTGAGCATCCCCCTCGTCTCCAAGGCCCCTCGACACACACCATAGCCTGAGGAAGGGACGGCACTGGTAATGCTGTAGGGGCCTCCAGAATGAAGCAGCACAGACAGGAGCAGGCAGGTGGGTGTGAGGAGACATGTGAGGAATGTCTGGGGACAAGCAAGCAGTGGGGGTTGTGATGGAGAGGCAGAGGTACACCCAGATGACATGTGCATGGCTCCTGGGCCTCGTCCTTGTGACCTTAGCTTCTCTAGGCTTCAGAGCAGGATTGATGCCCTATCTGTATGGGGCAGGGGAGGGGGAGGGGGCGGTGGAGGGGGAGATTGGGCAGGGTCTGGGATGAAATCCTAAAAGGGAAAAAAAAAGAATTACAGAGAATGTCAGGATCAGATGGAAGGGGCTTTGCCTTAGAATAAGGTCCCTGCTGTCCAGTGTACAAGACAAGTTGTGTGGGTGAAATTGGAATCAGAGACCAGAGAAAATACTTCTAGGAACAATGTGGGAAAAAAAGGCTTGGCGCTGGCAGCTCACACCTGTCATCCTAGCTACTCAGGACACTGAGATCTAAGGATCATCAAGGTTCGAAGCTAGCCCATACAATAAAGTCTGTGAGACTCTTATCTCCAATTAACCACCACCAAAAAGCCAGAAGTAGAGCTGCGGTTCAAGTGGTAGAGTGCCAATGTTGAGCAAAACAATCTCAGGAAAAGTTCTCAGGCCCTAAGTTCAAACCTGGGACCTGCACAAAAAAATAAAAAAAGACAATGAGGTCCTATCTGGCAGGGCTACTGGGATGGTAGGCCTAGTGGCTAACTTGAGAGAGATGCTAAATATGGAAGTCTTGAGAGGCCTGGGGTCATCCCAATGTAGGTGGTGGTCTCTGAGGTGAGGAAGGTGGGAAGAGGGACAGGTATTGGGGGTTCGGGGCAGGGAGTGTATAAAGCTCCCGGAAGGTGATAGTCCTTTTATTTTCTTGGCCAAGGCCCAGAGCAGCCTCAGGAAACCCCAGATATTTTTTTTTTCCAGATATTTTTTTTTTCCAATCCTGGGGCTTGAACTCAGGGCCTCGGCGCTATCTCTGATCTTCTTTTGTTCAAGGCTAGTGCTCTACCACTTGAGCCACAGCGCCACTTCTGGCTTTTTCTGTTTATGGTACTGAGGAATGGAACCCAGGGCTTCATGCATGCTAGGCAAGCATTCTACCACTAAGCCACATTCCTATCCCAGGACCTCACATTTTTTCTGTGTTCTGCTACCACCTCCTCTGACACCTCAGTTTCCCTATTTGTAGAGCTCACCTGGGAGCCCACCACACCTGGAAGGCAGGAGAATGTTCTGGACCAGGAGAGAAAGTCAGACACCGTGTCCTTCATCCTCCCACCAGCGCTGGGTCAGAACTCATCTTCAGACCAAACCAAGCAGAGATTCTCCACCCCGCCCAGCTCCCCAAGCTCTCAGAATTCTCATTTTTGGGAGGCCTGCCACAAACCTCGCAAGAAAAAGTGCAAATCGACCCGAGGATCAGGTACCGTGGTCACTGGGTGCTGATTGGGAAGCAGAGGTCAAATGGGAGCAGGGACTCTGCTAGGGGATGGGGAGAGCTAGAATTTCCAGATGCCAAAGGCCGGGAGTAGCCGAAGCCCCCACCTCCTCCTCAGGACAAGACCCAGCCAAAGGTGTCTTCTACACAGGAGCCTGCATAGATCCGGCTCAAGCAGTGCTCTCATGAGAATCACTGTTTAGACTCAAGGAAAGACGTTGCCCCTATGTATTGTCTTGGACAGGGCTCTGTCATTGCTCCTGAGCTAGGGTTTCTTTTTCATTTTTTCTTTTTGGTGCCGGTCCTAGGGTTTGAACTCAGGGCCTGGGTGCTGTCCCTAAGGTATTTTGCTCAAGGTTAGCCCACTACCCCTTTGAGCTACAGCAACACTTCTGGTTTTGGAGTGGTTAATTGGAGATAAGAGTCTCATGGGGACTTTCTTGTCCAGGCTGCCTTTGAACTGTGATCCTCAGATCTCAGCCTCTTGAGTAGCTAGGATTACAGGAGTAAGCCACTGACACCTGGCTCCCAGAGCTTTCTGTACTCAAGATTGGTGCTCTACCACTTGAGCCAGAGCTCTACTTCCAGTCTCACTGACTTTTCATGCCTGGGTTGGCTTAGGACCAAGATCCTCAGATCTCAGTCTCCTGAGCAGCTAGGATGACAAGCATGAGCCACCAGCGCCCAGCTCACCTGGGTGTTTTCTTAAAAAAAAAAAAAAATCTTTCTGCCGGTGTACCTCACACCAAAGAGTTGTGATGTTGATCTGGAATGGACCATCAACCTATCCAGGCTAACCAGGCATCATAATTTTCATTGCTTGGTGGTATGTAGACAATGCTGGAAGATGTGCGCATATCCCGGAGGCATGAGAATATCCTCATTCTGGGGACAGTCAGGCTACCCCCCTCCTATCTCCATCCCCCAAGCTTCTGACACCCCATCTCTACTCACAGAAGAGCAGGATGGACCCCAGATGCTCCGCCGCTCTCTGGATCTACATAAGCCTGAGGAAGGGGAGACCACATTTCCAGACCTGAGAGAAGAAAACTTGGGAGTAACCACCACCCCTCCAAAATGCCTTGACCTCTGCAATCCCCTCCCGGCTGCACTATCCTCGCTCCAGGATGGTGGTGAAGAAGGGATATTCCAGCTGGTAGTGCAGGACCTGGCTGAGAACATCGACTCCTATGACTTCACAAGTGAGTCTCTTTCCTTACCATCAACTCAGTCTGCGCGCACACACAAGCACTCGAGTGTGTGTGTGTGTGTGTGTCTGAAGAGTTGAACTCAGGGCCGAGGCATGCGTCCCTGAGCTTTTGTGCTCCAGGCTGTTACTCTACCACTTGAGCCACAGCTCTTTATCCGGCTTTTAGTGATTAATTGGAGATAAGAGTTTCACAGACTTTTCAGCCTGGCCTGGTTTTAAACCATGATCCTTAGAGCTCAGTCTCTTGAGTAGCTAAAAAGACAGGCATGAGCCACTGGTACCTGGCTCCTAAACTCAGTCTTTTAGTGTTTTTTATCAGGCACTGCAGTGCCCCAAACTATACAATAGGTCATGGGGTACACACTGCCCATCCCTTCCCAGCACTCTGGGTCTTGCACCTGTAAGGGAGAAGAAGATCGGGATGGCCTTTTCCTAGAAGCTTTAGGCTGTAGAACTGAAGACAGGACAGGATCTCCCCTCCAGACCTCTCTGAGCAGCCAGACTGTCTTTCACATCTGTCACCATGCCAGCTGGGAGTGGGGAGGACTTGAATTCAGGCCTGGCCTCACACTGCCCACACGCATGCGCGGCAGCTTTTTTCTTGAGTATGCCTGTGCTACATTAGAGTCCAAGTTCACTATCCAGTGAAGGAATCACCTTGTCACCATATGGGATCAATGCAGAATAACCCAGACTTCTTGGGGTATCCTAGGGTGCTGTGTACCCCTTCAGGATGCTTCTGATAGGGATGGCAAAGTCAAGAAACCGAGGGGTGATTTGGGCACCCCTGGCCTCACTGCAAGGACCTTGTAGCCTGTGGTTTGGGGCTGCAATGGGGGATTAGGAGGGCAGATGGCAGACCCTGACCCTTCTCTGTCCCTGCTGTCTGGGAGCCTTGGACTCTGGCCTGATCTACAAGATCGGTCATTGCAATTTGCTCCTCCCCCCCCAACCCCCCCCACCCCCCGCCTACACCTCCAGACTTCTGTGCTATTGACAATGCCAAGGATCATGAGCCCAAGGCTGATGAAGAGGCCCAGCGAGCAGTGGAAACAGCCTTTCTCTTCAACAAGGTGCACATCTCTCCCAGGTAAGGCCCCCGAGGGCAGATGAAGTCAGGCAGGTGTCTGTCCTCAGCAGGTGTCTTTCAAATAGCACACGTGGCCTGGCTCTGTGCTGGATGTTGAAAGCTCATGGGAAAGCTTGGCTAACCACCTTCTGACTCCCATCTGTAGCCTGACCCCTTATGACTGAGTGACTATTCTTTTTTTCTGGTCGGTCATGGGGCTTGAACTCAGGGCCTGGGTGCTGTCCCTGAGCTCTTTTGCTCAAGACTGGAGCTCTCCCACCTTGAGCAACAGTGCCACTTCTAGTTTTCTGTTGGTTCATTGGAAATTAGTTTCATGGTCTTTCTTGCCCAGGCTGGCCTTGAACTGTGATCCTCAGATATCCGCCTCCTGAATAGCTAATATTACAGGTGTGAGCCGCCAGTGCCAAGCTCTGAGTGACTCTTCTAACACATACACAGTGACTGTGGCAGACATGACTCCCTTCCTTCTTTCCTTCCTTCCTTCCTTCCTTCCTTCCCTCTTTCCTTCATCTCCCTTTCCCCCCTCCCCCCAGTCTCATCCTTCCTGAACCCCCTCCAGTGCAGCCCCCCTCTGTTGCCAGCATCTGCTTCTTCCCACAAGACGCAAAGCATCTTGGGAGCCAGAGCCAAAGGACTGTGAATCTCCTTGGGGCCAGCACCCAAAGTGCCACATGAGACACACAAAGGGGGTCACAGGGTCATGCCCAGCCCAGGCTCTGTGTCTGACTCTTGATTTCACCTCTTGCAGGCAGATGCTGATCTCCAGTGAGGAGCTGGACAAGGAAATCCTAGGTGCTAACATTTGGCTTCCTGCCTGGGAGACAAAGGACGACCCCTCGGGTGACTGAAACACTGTCTGTCCTCAGTGTAGGCGGTGGACTTCCTTGTACCCTCCTCCAGGCAGGATTCCCATGGCAGCAGGAAAGCTGGAAAGAGATTGAGGAGCTGCTAAGCATGGGCATGGCAAATGCGCCGTGCCGTGCCTGCTGTTCCAGCCATTTGTTGCTGTGGCAGACATTACTAATTTTTAATCCCTTGATCCCAGATAGTATCTCAGAATCTCTCTTAACACAAAATGTACAGATCACTACAATTATTTTGTTAGATATGGCACAAGATGATAGTAATTTTGTGTGTGTGGTGGGGGGTGGGGGTGGGAGTCATGGGGCTTGAATACAGGGCCTGGGCGCCGTCTCTGAGCTCTTTTGCTCAAGGCGAGTACTCTATCACTTTGAGCCACAGCTCCACTTCTGGTTTTCTGTGGTTAGTTGGCAATAAGTCTCATAGAATTTCCTGCCTGGGCTGGATTTGAACCACCATCTTCAGATCTCGGCCTCCTGAGTAGCTACAATTTCAGATGTGAGTCACCAGCCCACAGACCTGATAGTGATTTGGGGGGGTTGCCATCTCTGATGTAATGCTAGGCATGATGCATCATCATCATCATCATCATTTTGTGCACGTGCCAGGCTTGAACTCATGGCCTCTCACTCTCACTCAGCTTTTTTGCTCATGGCTGACATGCTACCTCTTGAGCCACACCTCTAGTCAAGCATTTTGCTTAATTAGAGGTAGAGTCTCATGGACATAATCCTCCAGGTCTCAGTTTCCTGAGTAGGATAACAGATAAGAGCCACCCAGCACCCAGTTATTAATTTCTTCTACCCACAAACTCCAAATGAGAAACAGTCACCCCTCTACCTCCTGCGCTTGGCAGAACCCCTCAAAGGCAGATGCCGTGTTGCAGAAGGAGGGGGACAACCCCTGACCACACTTATGAGCCCCCCATTTCTTGTTTCTTTTTCCAGAGACCCCACTGGTCTTGGAGCTTCCCCAGAGCAATACCTGGGGTGCGACAAGCTATACAAGCGACAGTTTAGCACTCAGCCCTTTGTTCTTCAGCTCCCCGAGCAAAGTCCTGCCAGAGCCCATCCTACAGGATGACACCTTCTACCTGACCGAGGGTAAGCTTCCAGAATGGATTCCTCTTCCACACAGAAAACCCGAGGCTTCCACCCCCACCCCCAAATGCACAGCCCATGTAGGGCCTGCTGGATCCCCAGAGATGAATGACCTCACCCCAGCCCCCTCCCCCTAGCAGCCACCGTCCAGCACAGGGACAGTCACAAGCCAACTGGAGAGGCCGAAGCTCCATGAGCCCAAAGCAGGAGGCCATGTCCTCCTCCTCAGGACAAAAGGGGCTCCTAGGAAGCCTTTGAGCAGCACTTGAACCCAAGGTAGGGGACCACAAAGGAGAAAGCCAGACACACGGACTCCAGCTCACTAGGCAGCAGGCCTGGCTCAGTTGGGAGAAAAGCATTTGCTTTAGCAGCACTTTGCTCTCTCCAGGTCTCCTGGAAGATGCTTTCTTGCAGCTGGAGTCCCTGCCTTCTCCTTGCTCACCCAAGGCTCCCCTAGGGAAGGTAAGCTCCAGCATATCTCTTTCCACCTGCCAGTTCATCTGCCCATTTGCCCTTGTTCCTCCGTCTCCTCCCTCCGCATTCTCTATGGTTCGCCAAGGGGCTGGCGTAGACCCTGTGAAATAAAAAGGTTTCTTTTTTTTTTTTTTCCCTTCGGTCATGGGGCTTGAACTTAGAGCCTAGGCTCTACCAGTTGAACCACAGCATCAATTCCAGTTTTTAAGTGATTAACTGGAGAAAGAGTCTCATGGACTTTGCTGCCCAAGCTGGCTTTGAACCATGATCCTCAGATCTCAGCTTCCTGAGTGGCTAAGATTACAGGAGTGAGCCATTGGTGCCCAGCTCATGTCTTTGTGTGTGTGTGTGTGTGTGTGCCAGTCCTAGGGCTTGAACTAAGGGACCTGTCCCTGACCTTTTTTTTTTTTTTTTTGGGAGGGTCTAGTCGTAGGGCCTGAACTCTGGGCCTGGGCGCTGTCCCTCAGCTCTTCAGCTCAAGGCTAGTGCTCTACCACTTGAGTCACAGCATCACTTCTGGCTTTTTTCTTTTGCTTATGTGGTGCTGAGGAATTGAACCCAGGGCCTCATGAATGCAAGGCAAGCACTTTACCACTGAGCCACCTTCCCAGACCCCCTGACCTTTTTTTTTTTTTTTTTTTTTGGTCCAATCGTGGGGCCTGAACTCTGGGCCTGGGCGCTATCCCTCAGCTCTTCAGCTCAAGGCTAGCACTCTACCACTTGAGCCACAACGCCACTTCCCGGCTTTTTTCTTTTTGCTTATGTGGTGCTGAGGAATCGAACCCAGGGCCTCAGGCATGCAAGGCAAGTGCTCTACCACTGAGCCACCTTCCCAGCCCCTATTTTTTCTCTTTCTCAAAGAAAGCTAGTGCTCTATCTTTTGAGCCACAGTTCCACTTTCAGGTTTTTGGGGTGGTTCACTGGAGATCAGACTCTCACAGATGTTCCTACCCTGGCTGGCTTCAAACCATAATCCTCAGATCTCAGTCTCTTGAGTAGCTAGGATTACAGGTGTGAGCCACTGGCACCCAGTGGGGCTTGAACTTAGGGCCTCTCACTTGGCTTGTTTGCCCATGGCAGGTGTTTTACCACTTAAGCGCTACCTCCAGCCTGAGTTTTGGCTGGTTATCATGGTATTTTCTGCCTGGGCTGGCTTCGAACCACCATCCTCTAAATCTCATTAGGAGGTATGAACTCTCAGTGCCCAGCAGAGGATGTGTGTCTAACCTGAGTTATGTCTGGAATGTCAGTGAGAAGAGGGGGGGCCCTCTAGTCCTGACTCCCTTCTCCCTCATCATGGCACAGGATGGCCCATCCTGGGCCCCCCAGGAGCTTCCTGGTTCCTCCAGCCAGAGCTGGCCCTGCACCCCCCCAGACCAATGCTACCTCTCACTGAGTGACAGCAGCGAGACGTCGTCCGGATCTACTTCTGAGGACACGGCCACGGATACGGAATCCATGTGGGAGCAGGAAGAGGTGAGAGGGGCGGCCAGCCTTGGAAGGTGAGCAAGTGTCTCGAGCCCCTGCTTATCTCTCTCTCCTGCCCAGGACTTGCAGGCCGACCCCGAGGGCATGCAGTCCTCCAGTAACGAGGATGACTGCGCCTGGACCCCTTCCAGGCAGGCCTTGAACCCTCCCTGGGGCAGGAGGACAGCCAAGAAGAACCGGGCCCACAGGGTCCCCGGGAGACCCAAAGAGAACAAGAAAGCGCCCTGCCCAGCCCAGGCGAAGAAAAAGTGTGTCAACGGCTTCATCATGTTCTGCAGGATGAACCGGAAGCAGTATATCCGGTGGGTGGGTGGGGGCCTTGGGACACCCCCCCCCCCAAATACATGGCCCCATTGCTGGGAGACTTATTTGACTCTTCCTAGAGCCCACTGCCCTGTAGAGTTGTGCCCCCCCCACACACACCCAGGGCCTTTCTGTGTGTGTGTGTGTGAATTCTTGAGCTAAAAGAACACTCTGGCTAACATGGCCACAAAGGAAGAGGCTGGGGTGGCTGCCTGCTGTCACTGTCAGTCCCAAGCTAGAACAATGTTGCTGGTGATCTTTGTCCCTCTCAATCGACTGCTTCCTTCTCCAGCATGCTGGACAGAGCTGGGCCTGGCCAGGGGGCCAAGACCCCCCCATCCTATCTGTCACCCTGGCAGCCTCCGCTCTGACCTTCCAAGGACACATTCTTGCGGTTGACTTTGGAAAGTTGGGTGCCAGCTAGCTTGAGCACCGAGGGGCTCGCAGCTGTCATTCTAGCTGCTCAGGGAGGGTAAGATGGGAATATCCCAGCTCAAAGCCAGCCTGAGTAAGGAAGTCCATGAGACTCTCATCTCCACCATCAAAAAAGCCAGACATGTGTGGTTCAAGTGGTAGAGCGCTAGCTTTGAGCAAAAAAGCTCGGGGACAGCGCCCAGGCCCTGAGTTCAAGCTCCATGACTGGTGAGTACACACACACACACACACACACACACACACACACACACACACACACACACACACACACACACACACACACACACACACACACACACAGAACTGGGTGCCAGAGCCTGGGGAGCAGAGAACACGTGGTTTTCTTCTAGGAACATCCACAGAAACATCTGAGGAGTGGTAGCTTCAGGTCCTCTCCCCTCTCCTGGGACATGGGGTGCTCCTTTGGGGAGGGCAGAGGCGGTCTCATTGGACCTTCGCTTCGGGGTGTAAAGGGCTTCGCTGGACGGCACCTTAGCTGGGATCTGAGATCTCAGACCACACGAAAGCGCCAGAAGGCCAGAGTCCCTTGTGTGGCTGGGTCTCGGCCTCTGCCGGAGCTGGGCTTTGTGTCACCTCCTTCCCCCCTTGTCTCAGAGCCTGCCCTGGAACCGCGTCCACCGCCGCCACCAAGGAGCTGGCCCAGCTGTGGCGCATGATGTCCCTGAAAGAGCGTAGGCCATACTGGTGAGAAATCCTGGTGTGGTGGGGGCAGGCTGCCCTGACCCTAGGTAACCCCAGCAATGCTCAGAATCATGGGAAGACAGGTCAGAAATGACTTGGGTGAAGAATTTATGGGAAGGCTCCCCTTGCTGGCTTCCTTTCTTCTGTCTCTGCACCGCATGGAGTCTCTCAGACCCCAGGCTTATTTTGCTGTTGCGTGTTCTCCTCTTCCCTGAAATTCTGGTCTTCTCTCCAATTTCCAAGCTGCCCCCCCCACCCCCCACCCCAAGCCTTCAAGCATATGAAAAGGGCCTGTGGCTAATTCCCAGATTTGGCTCTGGCAAACGCTGGCCTGGTCACTTCTGGGGACAGAGACTGTGGGGAGGCCGGAATGGTGGGAGAGTGAGGATACCCCATCTTTCCCAGCACCAAGGCACGCAGGTTCAGCCGGCAGCACAACCGCGTGGTGAAGCAGGAGAACTCCAGCAGTGAGGACGACGAGGACTGGGAGATGCCCAAGCCCTTCTACCAGCTGCTGGCCCAGCGCGCATGTGTGCCCCCGGAGCCCACCTCACCACCCAAGCCTGGCCACCAGTGAGTGGCCTCCCCCCCCCCCCCACGGGGCCTGTTTCCCCTACCGCAGGAGCCAGGGCTAGGCTGGTCCCAGCTGCTGTGGGTCGCCTCTCCACCCAGTGTTAGGCATTAATTCTGAGCCCCAAGGCTTGACAGGCTGCCATTCGCACAGATGGAATAGAGTTCTGAACTAAGGAGTTCCACCCCCACCCCCAGAATCAAATGATTGCATCCCTGTTTATGTGCCCCCTCCTCTGATGTTCTTTATAGGTGGTTCCCCCCAAAACTTGTAAGGCCTCAGGTCCCAGGGCCTGTTGTTTAAAGTTGAGGCCTGAATTCTAGCCTCTTCCCCTGCCTCAGGAAGGCAGGCTCAGTCTTCTTGTTCTCTTTTGGGTCCTCTAGTTCTGTGTTGGGCCGCTGGGCAGGCAGATAACCCACACCCTGGCCGGTCCTATTGTCTGTTAACTATTTTAATTGAGATGGAAGCATAACACGGACCTAGAAAAATAAAGATTTTAGGATACAAACTAGACACGGTCAGGGGTGCCCCGGGATGAGAGTAAATCTTTGGTCTGGGGCTGGAGGTGAGGATGTGGATTTGAGTTCAGGTGCAGGGGTGGGGTGAACCCCCCTTCCACCTCACAGACCAGCTCTTCTCCCGCCGGGAGCTGTCTTCCGTGTGCAGGTTCCACGCAGTTCTGAGAATGCCGGCAATCGGTGGAATTATTAATGGAGTCCGGGAGGCCCGGGCTCCGAGGCCTGGAGAGGCAGCCTCGGGCAGGGTCTTTCATTCCCAGCTGGTTCCAGGTAGAGGGGAGGAGGGCAGAGCCTCAACTCAGGAGGCTCTCCCATATAGCTGGGGCCAGCATTAATGGGTTCCCCCCACCCTGCACCTCCATGCTTGGAGACGGGGCGTCTCTGGGGGGGGTCCCCGTGTCTTGAGCACCATTGTCAGGAGCAGCCACGGTGGCCAGCAGGTCACAGCTCCAGCGGCTCCTCCACAGGCACGGACTGCAGCTGGGTCAGCACCTTGGCCTCGGCCTCCATCCCCTCCTCCACCTCAGCCCCTGCCGCGGCCCCCAGGAGCAGCGCGCCGGGCTCAGCCATCCGGAGCACAGGGTGGGCACCTGTGCCCAGCCCCTTGTCCGCGTCCAGCAGCCCCTCGGCACCCGTGCTCAGCTCCAGCCCTGCTGGCCACACAGGCACGGTAGGCACGGTGGGCACGGCAGCGGGCGACACCATCAGCCCTTCCGGCGGGGGTGCAGGGAAGCCAGGCAGGAGGCTGGCCGAGTCTGGGGAGAAGGGCAGGCCGGCAGTGGTGGTGGCGGTGGCGGGGGTGGCCGTGCCGGGCGGCGGCGGGGCTTGCAGGGATAGCGTGCCCAGTGCATGGGGCTCCGGGAGGGCCGGGCTGGGGGCCACCGGGAGGGCTCCCTCGGGGACGGAGATGGCAGACTCTGGCTTCAGGGGCAGGACCTGGGAGACCAGCATGCTGGTGGGGAAGGTGGCAGTGAGGATGATCTTGCCCTGCTGCACGGCCACCCCGGTGACGATGGGGCTGCCAGACACAGGGTTGGCCAGCAGGAAGTTGCCTGGGGGGGAGGGGGGGAAGAGGAGAGGAGCTGGTTAGAGCCGGAACAATAAAGCCCCTGGAAGCCCAGTGCCGGTGGCTCATGCCTGTAGTCCCAGCCACTCAGGAAGCTGAGATCTGAGGACTGCAGCTGAAAGCCAACCTGGGCATGCAAAGCCAGGAGACTTTTTTTTTTTGTCAGTCATGGGGCTTGAACTCTGGGCCTGGGCACTGTCCCTCAGCTCTTCAGCTCAAGGCTAGCGCTCTACCACTTGAGCCACAGTGCCACTTCCGGCTTTTTCTGCTTATGTGGTGCTAAGGAATTGAACCCAGGGCCTCATGCATGCAAGGCAAGCGCTCTACCACTGAGCCACCTTCCCAGCCCCCAGGCGACTCTTATCTCCAATGGAAGTGGAGCTGTGGCTCAGGAACAGTGCCCAGGCGCTGAGTTCAAGGCCCACTACAGATCCCCCACCCCCCAAAAAAAAAAAATCCCCTGGAGGTGCAGGGGAGTCTGGCTAGAGCCTTGGGGTCCCAGGGAGAAGGAGGGGGTGAGCCACTCCCTCCCCCAGTTCCCCCCCCCACCAAGGGCAGCAGGAGTCACCTGGGGCGGTGGCAGTGGGAAGCTGCAGGGCGGGGACGCCCACCCCGGAGTTGAGGAGGTGCACGTTGGCAGGGCCGGCTGTGGCTGCCACCTTCACGGGGCTGCCCGGCCCGGCTGCCAGCAGCTGCAGCGGACCCACGGCCTGGGGCAGGGTCACCACCTGGGAGGTGGGCACCACCTGGGGCAGGTTCAGCAGCTGAGAGGTGGGGCCCAGGCTCGCAGGGTAGCCGGGGGATGGGGAGAGTGGCACTACCTGGGGGGCAGCCACGGTGGGCACTGGCCCTGGGGGCAGAGGGAAAGTGGCAGCCGGGAGGGGTCCGGGCACCACTTGGGGCAGGGATCCCGGGGCCTCCTCTCCAGCTGGTCCGGAAGCAGCCACCTGAGCCCCTTTGGTCTCGGGGGCTTCAGGTTGGGGTTCCTCCAGCCGAACCTCTCCAGTCTGAGGGTCCAAGACCAGGGCGGCCTTGGGCTGGCTGGCACCCTGGGCACTGGGCTGGGGGGGAGGGGGAGCCCCTCCCCCAGTGAGCAGCAGGGGGCCCAGGCCTGAGGCTTCACCCAGGGCCAGGCTGTTGATGATGACCGGGCTGCCATTGAGGAGCACGGCCGGGGAGCTGCCCGCCGCGGCCGCCAGGAAGCCCCCGTTCACCAAGATGGAGGAGGGGGCGCCGGCAGTGGGGGGGCTGGCCCCAGTCAGGAAGATGGAGTTCTGGGTGGGGGCCTCGGCGGCTGCGGGGGCCACGCCCCTGTCCAGGTTCTCAGGACTGCGGCTGGATTCGTCCTCGGTGGTGGGGTTCCCATCAGACTCGCTGTGGGGAGAAAGGCTCGTGACTGGTGGTCCTGGAGGACGGGAGGGGGGTGCGGGAGGAGGGAACAGAGACTGTCCACTACCCCAAGCTTCCATGTCAGGCCGGGGACCCCAGGGCCTTTGCAAGCCCGGCGGATGGTGGACACCGGGGCGGGGAGGCTGGAGCTGGGGCAAAGGGCAGCGAAGGAGAGGCTCTGCCTTGCTTTCTCTCCTGAGGTTGCTTTGGCCTCTGGCCGCGCCCCCCAGGCTCTGCCCCAAGTCCCCCGGGTCCCCTGGGGACCCCCGGAGAGCCAAGAGGTTGCTGGCCAGCTCGGTCCCCGCGTCCTTTTCCTCCCCAAGGGGGCGACGTCAGGGCAGGGGAGCGAGAGGCCGGGCCTCGGGGTGGGAGGGGAAGGGCTTGGGTTACAGGGAAACCGGAGCCGGGGAAGGTTCACGTTTCACAACAAAGGCAGGCGACCGACCACGCTGTTGGTACCCGCACCCGCAGGGGCGCAGGAGGGGGGGGGGGGGCGTGGGAGAGAGTACTGGACAGGGAAAATGGGGGCTCCCCTTCACCCCTAAAAAAAACAACCACCCAGCCTCTACCCACGGAGGGAAGGACCGACGCCCCTCAGCCCCCCCATGGATGGGGTTCTGGGGGGGGAGGGCGCGGTGGGGTGGGAAGGGGCCCCCCTGGGGGGGGGTTCTCCCCGCTCACCTTTTGCAGGGCGCGCCGCCGGCCGCCCCGGTGCGATCGCGTTGCCGCCGGTTCTTGAACCAGTTGCTGACCTGCGTGAGCGAGAGGCCGGTGAGCGCGGCCAGGCGGCGCTTCTCGTCGGGCGTGGGGTAGCGGTTGCCGCGGTAGCAGGCCTTGAGCGCGGCGCGCGAGCGCTCCTTGAAGCAGTACACCGTCTCCTCGCCGTCCCAGATGGTCTTGGGCAGCGGGAACTTCTTCCGCAGCCGGTACTTGTCCACGGCGCCCAGCGCCCGGCCGCGGGCGCGCTCGGCCTCGTGGTAGCGCGCGCGCAGGTAGAGGTCCTGCAGGAAGGCGTGGTGCGCGGCGGGGAACGGGCGGCTCTCGAGCAGCCGGTAGAGCTCGGCGTACTCGCCCCGCTGGAAAGCCACCAGGGCCCGCGCGCGCACCACCGGATCGCTGCCACGTAGGCGCTCGGCCGGGGGCAGAGCGCCCAGGAAGCGGCTCAGGCGGCCGGCGTGGCCCGCCTGGAGCAGCGCCTCGCACACGCACGCCACCTGCTCGGGCGAGAAGCGGAGGCCCGTGGACGGCTCGGCGGCGGCCTCCTGCGGGGACGATCCGGGGATACCTGGGGACCCCGAGTTCTCCGTTCCCGCCGTCGCTTCGCCCGCCCCGGCCCCGGCTGCTGCCGCCGCCGCCGCCTCACCCTCGGCCGCTTGCAAAGTCTGCAGGAGCTGGCGCGCCTCGTCCTCGTCCTCGTCCTCCTCCTCCTCGGCTGCAGCCGCCGGCCCCGCACTCGGCTCGGCAGGCAAGGTAGCCATGTTTTGCAACTTTGGGAAGTTCCTCCCTCCTTCCCCGCCTCCCTCGGGCTTTCCCCAGACCCCTCCCCCGCCTGTCCCCCTCCTCCGCCCCCCCCACGCCCTCCCAGATCGTTTCGCTGCCCCCCACCCCGTGCCAGACCCAACTCTCCACTAGGGTCTCGGTCCCTGTTGAGTGTCCGTCCCCCGCCCCGTCGGTCCGGGATTCTCCCTTTGTTTTCCCTCCGCTCTGGCCGCGCTTTCTGCTTCCCCCTCCAGCCACCCCCCCCTTCCCGCGTGTGCTTCGGGCTCAGAGCCTCAGTTTCCCCATCGGGACAACGGAGAAGGTAACGGGCCGCCCAGGAGGGCCAAGGGCGCGAAGCCGCCTCTGCCCCGAAACAGCTCTTGCAGGCCTCCGCCTCCGGGGTCCACGGCAGGCCCCCCCACTCCGCATCTCGGCGCGCGCTCCGCCCCTCGGAATTCCCGGCTCCGCAGGGGGGCGGGCCTAGCAGGGAGGAGGAGCGGGGAAATGAGCCAGAAAGTTTGCAGCAACTTTTCTTGGGTCTCGGTCCCGGGAGC